AGGTCTGGGGGTTCTGTGGGACTTATGGATTATAGAACTAAGGGCTGAGGGCGGTTTAGGGTTTAGGGTTAACTAAGGGCTGAGGGTTTAGGGCTTTGGGTTTAGGGTTTAGGGTTTAGGGTTAGGGTGTAGGATTTAGGGCTTAGGGTTTAGGGTTTAGGGTTTAGGGTTTAGCTTCGTGTGTGGGAGACGCGGATCTGGCCTTGGACTGAAAGTAGGGGGTCTTGTGGGCTTTAAAGGTTTAGGCTTTAAGGCTTTAAGGCTTTAGGGCTTTAGGGCTTTAGGGCTTTAGGGCTTTAGGGCTTTAGGGCTTTAGGGCTTTAGGGCTTTAGGGCTTTAGGGCTTTAAGGCTTTAGGGCTTTAGGGGCTACGGTTTAGGGTTCTTCTGGGCTTTTAGGGCAGTCGGGGCTCTTATGGGTTTTAAGGGTTTAGGACTTAAAGGCTTTAAGGCTTTAGGGTTTCGGTTTCGGATCCTTTAGGGTTTTTAGGCTCTTTGAGGAAATCATAACAAGGAGCCCTAGACAGGTAGGTTCCTCAGGGTGTAGGTAAACCCTAAACCCTAAACCAAAACCGAAACCTAAAGCGTTCGAAGGCATAAGCCACATCCGTATCTCCTCTGCCTTAGTAAGACCCCTCAACTCTCTCCCCTCAAAAATACCCTTAAACGAACTAAACCCTGAACCCTACATGTACCCAGATAGTATACTGCTTTGGCCTTAAAGCAGTCCCTATATAGGTACCTTGGGGCCAAGGTATATACTGTTTGGGTGCATGGACCCTCAGGGCAAGTCCTAAAAAATGTAGGTTCTTTAGGGTCCAGGTAGGGCTTAGGGTTTACTTCCCAAAAGGGTCCCCTTGAAGGCTCCATTACGGGTGTCACTGAGGCAGAAAAAGACGCGCATGCGGACTGGCGCTCCGAAGCTTTGGGAATTTCGGGTTCGAAAGCTTATGTTACAGTTTAAGGGTTTAGGGTTTTGGGTTTTGGGTTTTAGGGTTTAGGGCTTATAATATAGGGTTTAGGGGTTTAGGGCTTCGGGTTTAGAGTCCCGGGCTTAGGATGCCGAAGGCTTCAGGGCTTTAGATTTTCTTTTGGGATGGGAGACGTGGCCTAGGGTTTGGGGGCGCTTGTGAGACAAAATAGGGCTTAGGGCTGGCGGCTGGGGTCTAGGGTCTTGGGCTTAGGGCTAGGGTTTGGGGGTGGTTGTAAGACAAAATACGCGGGTTTTTGACCTCTCACAATGCTTCCTATGTGCTATCGTCGTAAGTTCAGGGCTAAGGGTTTAGGGAGCTTTTCGGCCAAGCTGCGCGGCGGCATGTTGGGCTGCTGATGGGGCACATCGTACCTTGCCGTCTCGACGCTTTTCGTATCGAGGGCGTCTGTGTTGAAAAAGATGTAACCCTAAGGGTCCAAAGGACCCAATAATAAGGTACTTACGTTTCGGATTGTAGTTGTGTAGGTTACTATTTGGGATAGTATATGAGTATTAGGAGGGTAAGTGCTGAGAAGTTGGGTCTGATTGCGGAGGGCCTTGGAAAAGGGACAGGCTGGCTCTTATATCCAAGCCGTAAGCTCCCCCACACGCACATACCCAGAATGCTGGTGGCCTCAAACTGGTCTGGGGCTCCCCCTAGAACTAAGCTCCGGTGCGCTTGGCTTTGGCGACAAACTCAGCTCAGTTGCACGATATCCAGAACCTCCTCGTCAGCGGCACTGCCTCACGCACTCGCTTACGGTATATAGGGTTTAGGGCCTAGGGTTTAGGGTACTCGCACAGAGCAGGGTTTGGAGCTTGGCGTCCGGGATTCTGAGCGCTGAAAGCCCACTGCGGCGCTGAGAGCCCACCCCAAAGCCCTGAAGTACAAACACCAAATTGCAAGCCCAGACCGCACAGCCAAAGCGAAACCCTAAGCCCACTGCTCAAGAACCCTATAACTCTGCAACTGCCATAAACGACATATCGGAGTATGCCATAATTATCGACTATGAAAATATACGATCAGACTGACAACATTCCAAGCAAGATCAATGCGAACTTGCAGGCAGTCATAGTTATATGGATATACAGCTGTGTATAAATAATTTCATGTGAATATATATATATATATATGTGTGTACATGCAGAGTTACAGTTATATGTACATACATATATATATATATGTATATATATATACACGCGTATGTGTGTGTGTGTATATATATATATATATGTATATGTTGTGTGTGTGAGAACGAACTTAGACTTGCTTAAGAATTTCAATACCCATACTAACCACACGTCAGGCAGGAACCCTATGTAGACTCACCCCCTTTCAACAGGATGACTGGATACTCACCTTAACCACCGTCTGAACCAGACCTCATCTAGCCGCATAGACAATCAACTCAGATTCACAGGAGCCTATCGTCAAGACCTACACCCTAACCACAAAACCCGGTCAATATCCCTAACACCCTGAAGCCTAGAGCCTGGAAATCTCACTTCCTGGATGATTCAGACTAAGGCCTACAGCCTCAACGCCTGAAGTGTTGAATTCGTGGGGCATATGCTACAAGACCCCAAACTTGGAACATGAATATCCTCATGCCCTGAAGGTAGAGTATAAGGGAACCTGCCACTAATCCTCCTAAGCGTATGTTCCAACTTTCTGGGATTCGCCGGGAACTGAAGTGTTAGCAAAGCTCAGGAGTGGGATTCGGGGAAAATGAGAGCTAGCCCTTAGAGGGCCGTGTTGGAAGCCCGTGTAGGGATTTTGGGTCGTGCAGTCCTGGATCAGGAGAGAGACCCTGAATCTTATGCCCTACACTTCATACCGTGAGCCCTATACCTCAAGCCGTATACCCTGAACCGTGAACCTTATACCTCAAGCCGTATACCCTGAACCCTAAACTCTATACCTTAAGCCCTATACCCTGAACCCTAAACCCTATACCTTAAACCCTATACCCTGAACCCTTAACCCTATACCTTATGCCCTGTACCTTGAACCCTAAGCCCTATACTATACCTTCAGCCCTAAACCCCAAAAGAGCGCAAAGGAACGGCCGAGATCCGGGCACGGCAGCTCGAGCTTCTCGAGCCTCGGCTGGGCGCTTAAAGTAACCCCTTCAAGGAATCCTTAAACGAACAGTGAAGGAACCCTTAAAGGAACCCTGAAAGGAACCCCTTGAAGGAACCCTTACAGGAATCCTTTGAAGGAACCCTTTAAGGAATCCTTCGAAGAAATCCTTACAGGAATCCCTTAAGGGAACACGAGAAGGAACCCAATTGATCCCTTGCAGGATCTCGTAAAGGAGTCGGTAAAGGGTTCCTTTCAGGGAACCCTTTAAGGGATCCTCTCCGCTTTGCCTTCAAAGGTCCCGGTGACGTGGTCATGCAAAGCTTCCCTTAACGGTTCGGATAAAGTCTAGGGTTTAGGGTTTAGGGTGCCCGATGAGGTCTAGGGTTCAGGGTTTAGGGTGCCAAGGTGTCCCCTAACGGTTCCGATAAGGTCTAGGGCGTATCAGTGCATCTGAAGCCGGTTGTGAGGTTGCGGCTTGGGCATAAGGCACGGTGCCAATATCCCTACATGGCCTGGACCCCTACTATATGGGTTTGGGGTTTAGGGTTATGGTAAGGAGTTGTGATTTTGGGTTTGGGGTCGGCGGATCAACTTCGACAGCTTGATCCCAATAACCCTACATGGAGGCTCATGGGTAGTTATAAGTAGGAATACAAGTCCCCGATTCTGGCTTGCAAAGGTAGTTGCCCCACTTCTACACCCCACTTATAACTAACTACCCATGAACCTCCGCGTAGAGTTGCAGCCCGAGATAACCTAAAGTCCCAGAAGCCCTACTTAAAGGGTCATGGGACTTACTAAGTAGGGTTATAATTAGGGTAACTATACTTATAACCCCAATTAGGGGACTTATAACCTTACTTACTAAGTCCCAGAAGCCCTACACCCTATCATTCCTGCATCCTGAGACCATCCTGAAACAACGCGGACGGGTTAAGGGTTTAGGGTTTAGGGTTTAGGGTTTAGGGTTGAGGGTTTGGGGTTTAGGGTTTAGGGTTTAGGGTTTAGGGCTTAGGGTAATGAAGAATTAGAAGCGGCATCTGGGGTATGTGTTTGAAGCTATAAGTATAGAAGGACTAAGACTTTTCAGGGCAGTGTAGACTAACCTCCCTCCGCCAAAAAAACATGTATTACCCTTTACCTCCCTAAACCCTAAACCCTAAACCCTAAACCCTAAACCCAAAACCGCACACACGTTCGATAAGACCTGGATCTTCCTGACAAAACCGTAAAGGAACCCTTCAAAGAACTTTGAGGGAACCCTCATATAGAAGCCGGAATAAAGACCACGATGTTTCCTTACGACTCCTCTTTCTAGGCTTTAGGGTTTAGGGTTTAGGGCTTGGGGCTCTAGGGTCCAGGCTTCCTACATTCAACCCACGGTTTAGGGTTTAGGGTTTAGGGTTTAGGGTTTATTCTGCCCTGTTCTATGTTTATGGCTCCTACATTGGGAATCCTCACATGAACCTAAACACTGAACTCTAAAGACGTAACCCTCTAAACCCTAAAACCTTAAACCCCACAGCCCTAAAACTCTAAAGCCTAAATAACCAACACTAAACCCAAGGAGGTTTATAAACTTAAACCCTAAACCCCTGAAATCTTAACCCAAGGATCGTTAGGAAGCTCCAAGAAGCCCCCTATATCACAAAACCCAACTTCTTCTAGATCCACAGGAACCCTATCATAATTAATGTTCAGGGCCCTAAACCCTAAACCCTAAATCCTAAAACCTAAGTCCTAAAACCAAAGGCCCTAAATCCTAAACCGTAAACCCTAAGGCCCTAAACCCTAAACCCCAAATCCTAAACCCAAAGGCCCTAAACCCTAAACCCTATAAGCCTCCAAGAAGCTTGTTCATCAACTCCACGAAAATCTCGGGTGGAAGACCGGGCTGAAACTTGTAGGAGAAGTTCTCCTGAGGGCGCTGGGTTTAGGGTTTAGGGTTTGGGGTTTAGGGTTTAGGAAAACCCTAAACCCTAAACCCTAGGTCTGGAGTTCACGTGTTTTAGGAGTTTTGGGGGTTTTTAGGGTTTGGGGCACAGGGGTAAAAGGGGGTTTGGGGTCTAAGGTTTAGGGGCTTGGAGGCTTAAAGCTTCGGAGTTCAAGGTTGGAAGCTTCTTTCCTTTGGGCTTCGGCTTCTTGGGCTTAGAGTTTAGGGCCTAGACCCTAAACCTTAAACCCTAATCCATGGAAGCACCTATGCGTTTCCCGGCCTCGGGGGGAACGTGTTTGGTGTGCCTACCTGCCTGCCCACCTCTCCGACACAAATATCGAAGCTCCGGCTTTTACGTAATCGAAGCATGTGCGCGCAATGTATGCGCGGGAACGCTTGGAAGAGGGTTATGGTATTTTTCAGAACATGGCGACCATAAAGGGGTCCTAAGGGATTGTATTGGTAATTATCCGGGTTGCGACAGTATCAACAAACCCTATGCAGATTGTTTCTGCTTTGGCATAACCCTAAACCCTGTAAACCCTTTAAACCCTATTAACCCTACAACCCTAAACCCTATACACCCTTTTGGCAGGCGGGTCGCACACCCCGGCACCAGCAAGGCCTCCCAGCTTCATGGTTCCCAGCAAAGATTCGAGGTGGAAAGGTCCAACAAGGGACTGTTACAAAGATTCTGTCAGGGCTTCAACAGGGTTCTATAAGGGTTTTCCGAGGGTTTCTATACAAGGGCTCTATGGGGGTACTTTAGGGTCGCTCAATGTGCTTAAGGATGAAGGCTGAAGGGACTCATGGGCTGGGGCTTTATGCTTATGTAAGGGATCTTCGTTGTGACTTCATGTGATTTTGGGGTGTGGGGTTTCGTAACACGGAGCTTCGAAGATCTATAGGTTTCAGGTGTTGGAGAGGCTGCTGCAGTTTGGTCATGATCCCTAAACCCTAAAGCCCTAAACCCTAAACCCTAAACCCCTAAACCCCTAAACTCTAAACCCTAATATTCGTCGTGACTTTGCTTTTTCTGCTCAAATGCTCCGGAGCTCTTGCAGAGATCTTCTGACTCCTTGGCGGGTGTCGGAGCCAGGGATGCGGCTGAGTGGCTGAGTTTTTAAGGTTTCATGTAGGGACCTGAATAATTAGTAGAATAGTGTTTTGGGGCAGATTCTACTATAGCAAAAAAAAGGCACCACCAAAATACAAAAAATACTTATGTAGTTAGGGTTCCAACCCTCAATCGCAACCCCCTTCCCTCTTGTCGCCCGAGAAACCAACGCCTCGGGCGCCGGAGCCGGGATTTCCCCGAACATTTCAAGGACCTAACCCTTAACCCTAAACCGTAGGGTTTAGGGATTTGGGTTTTGGGAATGAACCCCGAGACCGAAACCGTGCAGAACCCTTACGGAACCCTTGAAGGAACGCTTCAATGAACCCTTCAAGGAGCCCTATACAAGATACTTTTTTAGGAAACACGTAATCTAGAAGCCTAAAACCGAAACCATGTAGAACCCTTACGGAACCCTTCAATGAACCCTTCAAGGAGCCCTATACAAGATACCTTTTTCACCCCTCGTCCGGGGAGGGTGCTGGCCACAGCTTTGGCCTTCACCCCCTCAACTCCGAGGGCATACTGATAAGTGACCTGCTTGCAGGGGGATGGCCGGAGCCTACCATCCCCCTTTTCACAGGAAAATGGTGGTGAATGAATGAGTTCCCGGAGCGCATGGGTCACGGAGTGCACCTAGTATCTGCAGAGGGATCTGTGGAGAAGCGTGCCTGCTTCTTCAGCACGTGGCTGCGCATTGCCCGACGCAGAGGTGATGTTGCTTGCTTGGCCAGGTACCTTGAAGGGGGACCTTCTGGGGAAGCGTCTTTTCGCACGGGTTTCCGCGAGGATGGCACGCTGTCTTGCCCTTATGCCCGCTTTCCGGTGGCGGGCCTGCCCCTTGTGCGAAATTGCTTGCATACCCTCTTGCTTAAGTGGGCCGTTTGCCGACCTCGGAGCGTTGTTTCTGGGGTTGGGGCGTTCGCCAGCGTGAACTCCAAGCGGAGGAAGCAATGACGCCTGCGGAGCTTCCTGAGAAACCGGGAGGGATCGGCGCCTTAGGCATGGCTTCTGCGCGTACCACCTCGTGCAGCTTGCCGCACACAAACTCACTCACTCACTCACTCACTCACTCCCTCCCTCCCTCCCTCCCTCCCTCCCTCACTCACTCACTCACTCACTCATTCACTCATTATACCTTTTTAGGAAACACGTAATCTAGAAGCTTAAAACCGAAACCATGTAGAACCTTTGCGGAACCCTTCAATGAACCCTTCAAGGAGCCCTTTTTCAAGATACCTATTTAGGAAACACGTAGTCTAGAAGCCAAAAAACAATTACCAATACTATTTTGGGGGTTCCTTATTATAGTTATTGTTGATTGGGCCCCAAAACCCTATTCTAACCATTAAGGCCCCTTTTTGAAAGAAACCTATCATAGCCCCTTCTAGTATCCCCTTTAAAAGAACCACCTTTCAAAGGAACCCTATTCTACTTATGAAGGCCCCTACAGTACTCTGCCCTAAACCCTAAACCCTAAACCCTAAGCCGCAAGCCTCCGATGAGCAGGGAAGGTTGGCCCGCCCTGCTTTCCAGCCTGGTGAGGGCGCTGAGGATTGTTAGGGTTTAGGGCTTAGGGATGTTTAGGGCTTAGGGATGTTTAGGGTTTAGGGTTTAGGGATGCTTGGGGTTTAGGGCTTAGGGATGTTTAGGGTTTAGGAATGTTTAGGGTTTAGGGTTTAGCTTAGGGTTTAGGGTTTAGGGATGTTTAGGGGTTTAGGGTTTAGGGATGTTTAGGGTTTAGGGGCTTAGGGTTTAGGGTTTATGGGTTTAGGGGTTCAGGGTTTAGGGGTTAATATGGGTGCTTTGATAAGTAGTATTGGGTTTGGCGGTATACTATACCACAAATGAAACAAGGAACCCCCCAAAATAAGGTGATTAATTAGACCCCTATGCTAGATTTTCTGAGTCGTGCGTGCTCTCCTTTGACCTGCCCGCCAGAAACCGGCTCACAACTAGCCGGTAGGTTTCGGGCGTAGGGTTGGGGTTTATTAGAGTTGAGGGTTTCAGGAGTTTGGGTTTAGGGTTGAGCGCTTTAGGGTTTAAGGTTCAAGGTGTAAGGTTGTTTAGGGTTGAGGGTCTACGGCTTTCTATATATATATATATATATATATCTCTCTCTCTCTCTCTCTGGAAGGTGCTGTACGGCTACTATAAGGTTTCATCAAGTCCCACAGGTACTATAAGCTACAGGTCCAAAAAATACCACAAGTGGATTGGGCTTCTGTAACAGAAGAGCTTCCATCAACAAACAAGGTCTCGGGGGGGATATATTGTGATATCACTATATGTGGACGTTGACGGAAATGCGATCGCTAGGCTTCCGACCTCTCTGCTAGGGATTGGGCTTTGGACGCTTCGTGGCCTTGAGGGCATGAGCACTACGGATAAACTCTTTATGGTAGGGTTTGGGGGTTTAGGGGCTGTGGGGTTTCGGTTTTAGGGGTTTAGGGTCTAGGTTAAACTCTTTAGACGAGAGGCCTGTGCGGTGTCACGGTGTTGTATTGGGCGCTTGGGGCTGGGATGGAGGTCTTGGGCCTCAGAGTGGCTTTCAGTGGATGTTTATAAACAAATACATAAATAAATAAATGAATACATACATACATATATATATATATATATGTATATGTATATATATATATATAGTATACTTACAGTTTCTCAGGCCGCGAAGGACTTTAAGGCTTAATGCCTCTAGGACCAAGGCTTTGTGGCCTCTGGGGTCACGGGGCTCTTTGAGTCTGCAGTCAAGGGCTTGGGATGTTGAAACTTCACCCTCAAACCGCTTGAACATAAATCCTAGGCTCCGGAACCTTAATCCCTGAACATAACACCTCTAAGCCGCTAAAACCTCTCAGCCTCAAGCCTCAGATCCTAAACCCTAAACCCTAAACCCTAAACCCTAAACCCTAAACCCTAAACCCTAAACCCCAACCCGAAAGTCCCTTGACCATCTAGAGGCACTCTTTGCCCGGCCTTGCAGAATGCCCAGGCGAACCTCCAACTCCAGCTCCACACCAGCCTCTGCGGTACACCCTATTAGGGTTTGGGTTTAGGGTTTAGGGTTTAGGGTTTAGGGTGTAGGGTTTAGGGCCTACCCTATCCCTAACCCTTAAAACCTAAACCGGAGGGTCTTTCACATTATGAAATTAGGATTAAACAGCTGCTTAAACAGCTGGTCCTGCCCTGACGATACCCAATTCATTCACTCACCAAAATCACGGCACCCTACTGAGTACACACACACACAGATATACATATAAACATATATATATATGCACATACACATATACACACAAGAACTTAGACATTGCCTCATGCATGCATGCATACATGCATACATACATACATACATACATACATACATACATACATACATACATCATGCGTGTGCATACATATATATATATATATACAGATATGGAGTGTGTATTCATTAGTGTACTCATGGAGCCACTCATTCATTCACGTGTTTACTCGTTTGATTTGATGTTGTATGTGTTTGCTTACTTGAGCTGTGCCCTGAGAGCTATTGCCAGGATAACTGGCATAACTCACATGTATGAGGACCATCTTACAGGCCTGAGACATACTTCATACAGTATCACAGCTGCCAGGCTCAAGAAATCTCGCAATCTATCACTCGTACCATCATCACTGCACTGTCTGCTAGGTTATCTCTACTACAGATTGCTGTCTGCCATCCTGCAACCCTGAAACCTGACCTGAACCCTTTCAATGGATTTAAATGCGGCCGGGTGGCATTCATCAGCGGGGCATTGGCCTTCACGTCGCAGGCTCCAGTAGTTGCAAGGTCGACAGGAATCAGACTAATCTGGGGGCCGCAATAATTAGAGTAGAGTCTTGGGGTATATTATACTATAAATATAAGAAGGAATCCGCCCAAAATAATATAGGTAGTTATTAAGGCCCCTATATTCATGTTTAGGGGTTTAGGGTTCAGGGTTCAAGGTCTGTAGCTCCTGGCTCCTGCGCCCAAGCTGTCCAAACTTGAAACTCAGAGCTCTGAACCCTGGAACCCATAACCCAGTACGGCTTTCTATGGTTCTGTTTTGCGTTCTACGAAGGTTCGTTGAATGGTCGCATGGTTCTACAAGCCCTCAAAAACCAGAAACTTAAAGCCAAAATCCCCCAAAGCCCTAAAGCCACAGCCCTCGCCCTGCCCGCCCTTTAACCCTAGAGCTAGACCCCTAACCCAAAAGACCTCATCTCCTAAACCCCTGAACCTAAAACTCCCGAGCCTGAAGCCTAAACAACAAAGCATAAACCAACAACCTAAACCCCTAAAGCCCTAAACCCAAAACTCTCGAGCCTAAAGCCTAAACAACAACAAAGCCTAAACCCTAAACCCAAAACCCCTAAACCCTGAAACCCCAAAGCCCTAAACCCCTAAACCCTAAAAGAACCCCTAAACCCCAACACCCAAAACCCCCCTACAGCCGCCTCCAGGATTTGTCCCAGCTGCCACACCACCGGGTCGACAAGATGTGGCTTCCTCGGCCAGGGATTAGGGTTTAGGGTTTAGGGTTTAGGGTTTAGGGTTTAGGATTTAGGGTTTAGGGTTTAGGGTCCAGCGCAAAGTGCTGTGACATAGGGGCCTTACTAATTCGAATCAGGTTTTGGGGCCCGTTATACTATAATTACACGAAGGAACCCCCGAAAAAAAGTATTGGTAATCATCTAGGCCCATAGATGTTTAGGGTTTAGGGTTCAGGGTCTGGGGTCCCGGGTTTAGGATCTCGGGTCTAGGGTTGAGGAACTAGGGTTAAGGGTTTTTGGACAAAGGCAGAACAGGGCTTGGGGTAGATAAACGTCGAAGAAGCAATACCCGAGTAATAATGTTGGTGCTTCTTCAGGCTTTTAGGGGTTTAGGGTTTAGGGTTTAGGGTTTAGGGTTTAGGGTTTAGGGTTTTAGGGTTTTAGGGTTTAGGCCTCTATGACTCAATGACGGCCCTTTGTTTTGAGTCTGTTAGGTGCAAGGCTTCAGGCCGAGGTGCTGGCTGTTGGGTTTGGGCGGCTAGGCTTGGGGTTTGGTGTTTAGGGTTTAGGGTTTAGGGTTTAGGGTTTAGGGTTTAGGGTTTAGGGTTTAGGGTTTAGGGGTTAGGGTTTAGGGTTTTGGTGTTTAGGTGGGCTTAGGGAGTGATTAAACCCTAAACCCAAGCCCTAAGATTTCAACCCAATGCCCTTAAATCCAGTTTACTTCCGAACCCTAAACCCGACATGGTTGAGGCTTTGGCTTTCCTAAATCCTAAACCCTACCTGGACCCCAAAAGTATGTAGAAGAATAGCCCTTTGTAGGTTTTGGGCTATTAGTTTACCTTTCTTTGACGCTGTTTAACCAAACCCTAAGCCCTATAAACCCCTAAACCCCTAAACCCTAAACCCCTACAACCCTAAACCCATCGAGCTGCTCGTCGGTAATCGTTGTAGGCCCCACTTCCAGAATCGCTGGCATGGCTCCGAGAATCCCCGTACTTGGTTCTGGATCCTTCTTGGGTGTTGGGTTTAGGGGTTAGGGTTTAGGGTTTAGGGTTTAGGGTTTAGGGTTTAGGGCCCTTTTTTGGGGGGTTTAGGGTTTAGGACCCTTTTTGTTGGGGGGTTTGGGGTTTAGGGTCAAGGATCTTCTTCAGGGTATGAAAAGCTTTACGACGACTTTGCGGTTTAAGCTTCGGGTTTCTTGTCTTGTCACTGCCATTTGCAGTTTATCCTTCTGCGCTTTTTGATTCAGGATTTACTTTCGCGATAGGGCTTTGGCTGTGGAAGGGGCAAGCACAGTTCTTCCAGGGCTTTCTAAGGGTCAATGCTTGGGGTTGGGGACTTCGAGTTTCGGGTCTTGGAGGTTCAGGATTTAGAAGTTTAAGATAGCTCAGGATTTCTCAAGTTGCAGATGGTTCAGGGTTTAGATGTTGAAGATCGTTTGGGGTTTCGAAGATTTAGCGAGCTCAGGGTTTAGAGGTTGAAGATAGCTCGGGGTGTGGAAGCTGCAGATAGTCTTGGGCCCTAAACCCTAAACCCTAAACCCTAAACCCTAAACCCTAAACCCTAAACCGCTTAGGTGCTGAGGACTTAAAGTCTGGAAGGCCAAGCCAGGGTCATATAGCAACGACAGGATTCACAGTCCCCTGCTTTAACCCTAAACCCTAAACCCACTTTGGCTTGAGGCGGCAGAAGCATCCACATAATTGACCCTAAACCCTAAACCCTAAACCCTAAACCCTAAACCCTAGTTGAACAAACAAGCAGTGTAGGGTTTGAAGTTTTGGTGCACCGGTTACGAGGCCAAGGGGCCTCGCTACGACGAACTCCCTAGACCCTAATCGGCCCTAACCCTAAACCCTAAACCCTAAACCCTAAACCCTAAACCCTAAACCCTAACCCTAAACCCTAAGCCCCAAAATCCTCAACCGTTAATCAATGTCCTCGCCATTGTCACTTATAATGCCTTGGAAATTCGACAAGCTGCCCAGCCACAAAATCAACTAAATCCTGGTGCTTTCAATTTAGGGCTGTTCTAATACCTTTAACCCTAAATGGTGTTCCCCGCTTCATATCCACCGTTAAACCTTCTTGTGAAACCCGTGCCCCTGAGAAGGGAATTCGAAACTCTAACAGCCTGACACCTGCACTTCTCAGCATGGACTAACTTTAGATTAGCATTCTTTGTGCATGTACGCGTGTCCCTGTCTCTGTGAATGAATGTGTGCTATATATATGCATCCACGATATATATATATATATATATAAACACATACACTTATATATTTGCTTCTATGTAAATACACACAAGAAGACTGTGTTACTGATCTGCTTGCGTTTGCAATACAAGCCCATGCATAATACGTGCATGCATGTGTAGATCTGGCACTCTCTCTCTCTCTATGTATGTATGTATGTATGTATGTATGTATGTATGTATATATATATATACATACATGGAGAGCGAGAGAGACAGAGAGAGAGAGAGAGAGCGAGAGAGATCTGTATACATGTATGGATGCACGGGCTTTTTGTATGTATGTACGTATGCATGCAGTGTGGAATCTATTTGGAACACAGTACAGGGACGACCGTGGACATAAACCCTCACCCCCCAACACCCAGTTGAAAGCCATATGAAGCCCAGTTGACTCCCGGAGAAACCCCGTGCCCGATCCAAATCCTAAACCGTGTTCCCTAAGTCGCAAGCCAGAGAGCTAAAATCTGCACCCTAAGACGTAATGCCAAAACCCAAGGCCCTTTCAAGAGACAAGCTCAGAACCACAACCCTCGAAGACCAAATCCCCCTAAACCCTAAACCCTAAACCCGAAATCCTAAACCATCCCTAGCTCCTAGGCCCCAAGCTGCAGTTCTTATTCCGCCAGGCGATGGCTTCACAGCGCGTCGCGGTTGTTTGCGAATTAAGCGTGCGACGTGCAGAAAGGGCGAGACAGCTCGGGGTTAGGGTTTAGGGCCAGTTTAGGGTTTAGGGTTTATGGTGATAAGATTATCTAGTTTATGGCTTATGCTAGACAGGCTCCAGACAACCCGAATCAATCCTCGAAGCCATACACCGCATTCTCGAAACCTAAAACTCTGAAGCTCTAAACTCTAAACCCTAAACCCCCCAAACCCATAACCCCCAAACCCCTATAAACCCCAAACCCCTAAACCCTGAGGCTGGGGACTCTACGGATTTCAGCCTTACACCTAGGTTGGTCCTTTAAAGCCTTGGAACATATTCGTAAATCAGATCCTCTTATCTTAGGCCCAATGAAGGACAATTGAAAAAGGGCACCAAAATGGTACTGGAAATTATCGAGGCCCCATGAGTCGGCCAGCCGTATGAATGTGGCGCCCTACACCCTGAACTCCAAGTCGGCAAAACCGGCGGCGTCTGGTATGGCTGAAAGCCAGCAGTGTCCTTAAGGACCAAGATCCCGAAGGGTTTTTGGGGGGTTTAGGGTCCCTCCCAAAGCTAAACTCCAACAGGCTTGATGGTAAAGTTTCGGGTGGGGGTGCTAATGTAGGGGCCTAAGTTATTACCAATACTATTTTTGGGGTTCCTTACTATATTTATAGTATAATGGGCCCCAAAACCCTATTCTAATCATTAAAGCACCTATATTATAAGCTTCTGTGGCAGCTGAAGGCCGAAACCACAACATTGTTTCTGCCCTTCGTCGAGAGGCTGTCGGCAACCGCCTAAACCCTAAACCCTAAACCCAAAACCCTAAACCCAAAACCCTAAAACCCTAAAACCCTAAACCCTAAAACCCTAAACCCTAAACCCTAAACCCTAAACACCTACATCGAGAGGCTGTCGGCAACCGCCACAGTCTAAGTCAAAGCTGGGCCAGGAGTCTTTACAGGTGGGTAGTTGTCAAAATTAAGGTCCCTTTGGGGGTACCCTAAACAATAGGTGCCGTATTACAATAAGGACCCAAAAAGGGACCATAATTTTGACAACCACCCAGGTGCGCGGGGCACATCGGCACAACACCCACGGCGGCCATGGACTGGACGCTTGGGGGCTCAGGGTTCATAGGGTTTAGGGTTTAGGGTTTAGGGTTTAGGGTTTAGGGTTTAGGATGTTAGGGTTTAGGGTTTAGGGTTTAGGGTTTAGGGTTTAGGATGTTAGGACTTATCGGGTTTAGGAGGGTCTGCATTTCGGGTTTAGGTATCAAGACATAGGATTTAAGGCTTCAGGGTTTAGGGCGCTGTGAATACCAGATCACAACAGAGCTTCGGGCGCTTTCGCTGTTTGGGTTCTTGGGCTTGTGCCTGAGGTTCTATGCGTGTAGGCTCCGGGGCTTCGAAGGGTTCGGGGTTGAAGGGCTTGGCCCGTGAAGCCAAAGGTTTACGGGGTAGAAGCAACAAGCGCTAATAGAGGGGCCTTAGAATAATTAGCTCTACTATTTTGTGGGTTCCTTACTATAATGACAGTAGAATATACCCCGAAACCCTATTCTAGTTACTAAGGCTCCTACATGAATCCTGCTCAATGGACCTCACGGGGGCTCGCACATGTTATGTTTTCCCTGTATGCTAGCGCCGTCTGCTTCTACAGCAAGCACAAGCATGCTCGCATCATGGGCAAACTCACAGGCATAAGAGAAACAAGCAACTCGGCACACTAAGCAAAACATCGAACAACTTCAAGCACCCCTAAACCCTAAACCTAAACCCTAAACCGACGTAAATCCAAGACGTGCTATTATAAGCAATCTCAGTTTACGGCTTCGGGGAATCGACTCTGAGAATGGATTCCCACGCAGGCTCCAGCTATGATTCTTCTCTGCTAAGCCCTAAGCGCTTCTGGCCCAACTACAGTTGAGGGTGTAGGGGTCTAGGGTTTAAGGCTTCAGTACCCCGCCATATATGGCGCAGCAGGTGCTCGGATGATGTTGCCCGGGGCGCAGCACTCTTGGCCGCAGCCGAAGATAATTTTGCAAACCGCTGCAGGAGGCTTGCACGAAGAACTGTTGATCTCATCTCATTACCCCAAAAGAGTTGAAAGTTTACAGTCATTAAGCAGCAGGGCATGGGCCTTGTGGGCTCCAGTGCTTCTCCAGCTACAACTAGGACTACGACGACGACAGCATGTGCCAATATAATATATAGGGACTTAAAAAATGGGAATAGGGTTTTGGGGGCTTCTTCTACTATAATCATGATTAAGGAGCCCCAAAGTAGCATAGGCATGTATTTAGGCCCCTATTATTGCTGTTGTTAGGGTTTTAGGCATCCGCGATTTCGGGATTCGGCTAAGGGAGCTGCAGCTGCCTTGGATTCGTTCAAGAGACCCGATGCCTTAAGCTCGAATACGCAAGCACTTGGGTGGTTGTCAAAATTATGGTCCCTTTTTGGGTCCTGATTATAATACGGCACCTATTATTTAGGGTACCTCAAAAGGGACCATAATTTTGACAACTACCCACTTCACACAGAGCTTTGGACTTAGGGCTTAGGGTCCTAGAGTTTACGGTTTCGAGGCGTGGATACTATTGGCGTTTGGATCTAGGGCGCTGGGCTGTGGATTCAGCGTTCTGCGTGATGGATTTGCGGTGCTCTGGATTGTGGCTGTGGATAAGGGTTTTGGTGATGTGTTTGGTGGTTCTGTGATTAATATAGAGGCCATAATAATTGCTTAGAATAGAGTTTTGGGGTATAGTATACTATACTGATAATTAGGAACCGCCCAAGACACTATTCGCCCCTACATTATGTACTTTTTGGAGTTAGGTCTTGGATGGTGGCTTTCGGGATGAGGGTTCTTGGACCCAGAATTTAGGGGTTGGGGTTTAGGGTTTAGGGTTTTCGGGTTAGGGGTTTAGAGTTGAAGGTTTGGGGTTTTGGGTTTGGGGTTTATGGTTTCGGGTTTAGGATTAGGGTTTTGAGTCTGCAATAGTGGCTTAAAGAGGAAGGTTATGTACCTTGATTCGCGTAGGTTCTTACCTTGGCGTAGTTCCTGACTC